ATCAAATACACATTATGCAAAAGTCACAAACTATACAAACTAATCTCAACCATCTATCTAGTCTAACGAATGTCTGGTTTCATAAATACATCGATATATAAATCTTTAACCATAATTAATCAACTCTAATTATCTTCCATAAACTTCCAAAACATAACAAATAAAAATTCATCATTTCTATAAATATTAATTTACATTTCATTTACCATATATATATATATATATATATATATATAGAGAGAGAGAGAGAGAGAGAGAGAGAATAGAAAGGGAGAAAATATGGGTGAAGAGAAGAGAAGAGAAGAGAAGAGTGTCATTGTCAAAAATAACAAGGGGAAGGGGAAGGGGAAGGTGTTAGAATAAATAGATACAAAGAAATCCATGAAAAAATAAAATCCAAAAGTGAAAGCGTTAGGACCCCTACCCCCTCCCCTCCCCACACCAATATTCAATTCCATACAATACTCTTCATCTAAATCACTGCTTCCCTGCCATTCCCATTAATTTCCACTGTCTTCCAAGGACAACATCAACATTAACATTATCTCACACCTCAAATATTATTAATCTTTTATATATATATATAATTATCAATTCATTCAAATTATATATATACATAAATCACAACACTTTAAACCAAACCCTTCTCATTTTTTAATTATAATCATCATAATATAAATAACGTAAGGTTTTTAAAGTGTTAAATACAAGTCTGTATAATATTTTTCTTTTGTTACAATGGAAATGTGTAGGAGTATAATTTTTAATAGAAAATTAAATTGGTGTTAGTAACTATCATTGTGTTTGTGATAACATTTGACATGTATTTGATCCATGTGGTTTATACGGAACTACGAAATTCGTCTCTAGACTTTAATAACTACAAGTATTATCCATATTGTTTACATTTTGTTTTTGAAAATGGTTCCTCGAACTTAACACCGTTAAAAATTGCAGTTAAGTGTTAGATATTTTCGTTCATTTTTACCTTTGTTTTATCATTTCTTGTTTTGTCTTTACTCTAACCATAGACCAAGGGACCAAAACTGTAGTTTTTTTTCTCTTCTTTCACATTGTTTGGCAAAAATACATACATATACATATATATATATATACACCCACACACATATTATTAATGTGTATATATATATATATATATATATATATTATGTGTGTCTAATTATATATATAAAAAAAAAGAAACTACCCACACTTAACTGTCTAATTGTATGTGTTTATATATATATATATTATGTGTGTCTATTAAACCATGAGAAGCCAAATTGTAGTTTACTTTGTAAATATTTATAACAAATATTTAAAATACAAAAAAATATATTCATAAATATTACACACACACATATATATATATATATATATACACACACACACACATAGGGTTGGGTTCACATGAGACCAACTTGTTTTCATGAGACCCGTAAGACCATATTTTTACACATAAACTTCACAGCAAAAAGACTGTGAAAGTTAGAAAAAAGTCGAACCTTCACAGCAAAAACATTGTGAAGGTTAAAAAAAGTCACTTTCACAGCATTTTGCTATGAAGTTTCAAGTGTAAAAAAGTAGTCTTACAGGTCTCACGAAAACATGCTGGTCTCACATGATCCCAAGTCTAAATACGTACATACATACATATATATATATATATATATATTAAAATGTAAAAACTTAATATATTGCAATGATACCCATAACAAAAATTAATACCTAAATTATTATCCGTTTAAAAATCATTAAATTGTTGTAAGATAAATGTATCATCATCTGAAGAATATGATGATAGAGATAGATATATCAGAGTTAGATTAGAATTGAAATATTTTGTAGTTATCTACTTGTAACTCATCCATATAAAAAATGTTTATGACTAATAGAATCCCATATTCTTCTCTCTGTTATAGTGTTGTTCTCTTTCAGTCATTCTATAATACAAATTTAATTTTCATATCATTTCTTTGGACTTAAGCATGAGTTAAAGATCCAATTTCATCAACTCATTTTCACGACGATTACAAATGTAATGTTTGATGAAAAAGATTCCGGACGGACTTTGAGAAGAAGAAGAAAATGATTATTTGTCTAACGTTTACTTTGTATTTTATAATCCAATGTAATACTTTATCATTTAATAAATCGTCGTTTGTTAGTATCTATACAACAACAAGAAACCTTTTTTCACCAGTCTTACCTACCCTATGTATTCAACAGGGGTTTTGAAGCCGAAAAAGACATGCTTCCACACATAGGAGACAACCCAAAAAAACACGGGACAACGCATTCACCACGGAAAGCAAATCCGATCCTATTTTAAAAAAAGTCATTCGAAATCAACCGAAAACTAAAAAAACCCCTTGAAACGGTACAATCGCTCGACAACAATCTGAACCCGTCAACACTTTCACATGTATAAATTTAATAAAACTTTAATAATAATAATAATAATAATAATAATAATAATAATAATAATAAGTGTAAAATGTGAATAGAAGTAGATAAAAAAGGGTGTTGTCATCTTCCTCATTAAACAATAATTCATATTCTCATGGGAACTTCCTATACTCTGTCCAGGGAAGTTGTAGGCCCCACCCAAAAGAAACATCATATTCATTTCTGCCCCTGCCAAGTGGGCCTACCCAAAAAAAAGGAACATTAGACTTTTTTTTTTTTTCAGATAGCCGTGAGTTTACAGATCAACTTTCGAGTATTCATTGTCCTGCATGATCATGAATGATCTGAAGTCATCGTACATGAACCTTCGTTACCACAAGAGATTTGGCAGCATTTGAATCGATAAACCAACCCTTTTGTACATCGTTCTATAGGTTGTTTTCGATTGTGTTTTGTTAGTTTTCTTTTCTCTTTTTATGTGTTCGGCTGTTTTTTTTTTACCCTCTCCCCTCCTTAATTCTGCATCGTACGGTTTTCTTATAAAGAGGGGTCTTTCGAATTGTTTGTTGTGGTTCCATGTTTATCTCTTTCTCTTTCTTTTCGTATTAACATACACATGGTGTACACAATATAAACAACTTTAATAATAAAAAAATGCTAGGATGTTCACATTATTCATATTGTGTTCACAAGTGGTATGTTAGATTTAGTTTATGTTCACAAGATATAATACTAGATCTCGTTAGATTTAAAATGTACTCAATGTGTTCACAAACTATAATAGTATTTATAAGAAAATGTTCATAATGTGTTCACCATGAATTATATCCAATTATGTGTACGTACATGTATGTATGAAAAGAGAATAGGGAAAATAAGAGAGAGAAGAAAAAAAAATAGGA